CCGGGGAGAGGGTGAATCCCTCAGGTACACGCCAGAGCAGAACCTATCACGCGACCTGTTAGTTTGTTTGTTCGGTGGGATATCGCAAACGTGATCGAATTATTGTACCCTTCCATCATCGGAACCAGACGCAATGAGGTCGTCGTTGAAAGGGTTCCTAGCCACGTCAGCTCACTCTTACTCCCCCAGAACTGGGAATGTCTGCCATTGCTCACCAGTCGGTGTCCAAGACAACAGCAGTGTGACCACGGAACAGAGGCATGCGCTCGGGCAGCTTGCCCCGCTCTTCCAAAGGAATAACAGCAAAAGCACCACCACCACCGGCCTCCCAGTTCACAGAGAGGTACTTGGGGTTAACCTAGTCGCATGGTCAGATTATCCGGCGGAGGCGGCTTAGGGGCGATGAAAGCGGTCGGACCTTGACGAGATTGGTATCCCAGGCATTTCTGGAAACACGAAGGTTATCATAGCATTGCTCCTGTTTAAGTTGTGAGGATCGATTCGGGTTGCGATAGATCAGAAGGAAGGTCGCGCACCTTTCTCGTCGGCCGTCCGAAGACGTGTCCTGCTACCTGTCAGATTGCGGGCAATCAATCGGAGAGGAAGTGGAGGGGGGGGGGGGGAAGGGGGGGACTCACGGTACTTCGAAGAACGCACGAAACGACCAGACATGACGCTGGTGTGTCGAATGACAATTAGAATAGTATGAAGGGGGGGAGAAGTAGAAACGAAAAGGAAGCAAGGCAATGACAGAAGCAAGAGAACAAGAGACAATGGGCAAGAGAGGAGGAGGAGGTGAGAGTGGATGGTGGGTGGAACAAACGGGGCAGGCAAGCTTGTTCTTGATTTGGTCGGTCTGCAAACAGCAGCAGCAGCAGCAGCAGCAGCGGCGGCGGCGGCGGCGCAGCGGCTACTAGTTTAGTAGACCGTAGAAAGAAGGGAACAAGTGGAAACCCGCGCGGGCGGGCCAGAACTGGAGTAAATAGTCGGAGATGGACGGGTCCAGTCAATTCAAGGACCCAAGGAAACAATAATAGAAAGGGTCTGAGAGAGTATCCAGAGAAGTAAACAACTGAAGACAACTGAAGCTTTCACAATAGCAATTGACTTTTGTGGAGACGGATACTTGGTCAGGCGAAGTTGTACAAAGCCTCCCACTCTCTAAGTTATCGAATTGATCAACCAACCAAGCTTAGAAAATGGTAAATGGTAACAATCGCGTAAATACGAGTACGACAATCAGGTCAATACCGCTTGTCTTTACCTGGCCTAGCGCATCTCTCGCTCCCCCGCCAGTCAGCAGCTGAGTCAGCCCAATTTGTTTACCGCCCTCCCGTCGCTGGAGAAACGGCAAGTTGCAACAGAGACAAACCACCGGCTGGCCTTGGATAGCCTGTTTACTGCCGGGTTCAACTCCTCTTCATCCGAACGCCAGCCAGCCTGCACCTTAATAATTACACACACCCGTCGCCCCTCCTGGCATGTTGCAGTCTTGTCTCCACCCATTGTGAATTGCTCTGCCCGCTTTGCTTATCCCACGCGTCTCGATTGCGACCTTACCTTGCGCTAGAATTTGTTCTCGTCCGCTGTCAATTTCCTCCTAAGAATCCTCTTGACTCGTTAGGAGCTCGTGGCTCCCTGCCCTCAGCATGGAGAACGATCACATGGTAATAGCAAGCGGCATTCATTCGGCCACATAGTCAGGCTAACGCGATAATAGATCCAGTCAAAGACGTCTTCACGAACTCGAATCCCAACAGTCGGCCTGAAAGAAATGAATCCGGCTTCGACAAACGCCCGCTCGGGGCTCGTGCAACCCGGTACCATCGCTGGCGCAGTGACAAGTAAGACTTCAGGCCTGTCGCGTACGTCCCTGGAGGGTTGCTCAGGGGTGGAGGAGCTTCAACACTAACAAGAGCAGAGCCGGGCCGTCCACGAAGCACAACCCAGTCCGCTGCAGCAACTTCAACATCCCGTATCGCCAGCAGCACAGTCAAGACGCACGGCCGTGCGAACACTTACAGCTCCAATACCCTTGGCCGCTCCGCATCTACTGTCTCAAGAACGAAATCGACTGTCGCGTCTTCCGCCGGACCCACTGCACGACCGCACACGAGCATGTCGCGCTCACACACTGTTACCAATTCCCGGAGACCAATGGCCAATGCCATTCCCCGCGCAGCCACGGCAATGGGCTCTCGTGAACAAGAGGACTCGGAGGGTACCATACTTGGAAAACGTAAGGGTAGGCGCGAGTTTGACTGCTTTTCATCCCCTGCTACCGTACCCCAGGCCACAAGGACTCTACCAGGCGATGAGACTTCCCGGATCTGGCCTTGGACCCAGTATGAGGACTCACCATGCTCGCCGTTGGATAGACTGGCTTTGGTTCCTGGCCCCATTGATCCCTTGGCTTCTAAACTCCCTCTTGCGCATCATGCTTCTATGAGTCAATTGCGTTATCATGCCCTGTCTTCGAGATCTCCCTTCACTACTCCCGTCAGACCTCCCCCATCTACCCCTCTTCTGTCCATCACTCGTTCTTCCCGAAAGCCATCTCGTTTGCCACAGTTTCTTACCAAGGATTCAATGATCAAGTCTTTTAACTGTTCTATAGGTGGCGATTGGGACCTGGATCTCCGAGAAAAGCGAATGTATGACCTTGTGCGAAGCATGGAAGAACGTGTCAGTCAGCAGGGACAATCGAGCACAGCGCTGAAAGATGCTGTGGATTTGTACAAGTCTAGAGGTGAGGGAACAGTGCGCGCTGATCGTGGCATTCTGTGCTGACTCAATATCACTCGTAGTGAGCGAACTAGAGGCGTCTTCGAAAGAACTTACGGAAACAAATGTCACACTGCGCATCGAAATCGGCTCAATGGAAAATCGGCTTGCTGGTGCGGAGAAAGCACTCAGAGACGCACAGAGAGACCATGAGATGATCGTCGACGACATCAACGCCCGCCGACGTATGGAATTGGAGACAGTACGGCTGGAGGGCAGAAGAGAAATGGAGACGATCCACTCGCGGCACCAAGAGGAGATGCAGGAACTCAGACGGCGCTTTGAAGACGAGATGGAGGAAGAACGAGCTGCGCGGACGCGCGAACTTAGTCAAATCACTTCGCAATCTGCACTTGACACACAGCGCACGCATGCCGAGCTGGACAAGAAGGAACGAGAAATCGCCACCCTGCAACACCATATACACACCCTGAAGGCCGACTTGGAGCGTGAACGCAAAGCCAACCGAGACCTGAGGCACAATCTGGATGCAGCCAGCACCAACACTGTAACTATGGAGTCATCCGTGCGTGCGTTGAAGGCCCGCATCGAGTTCCTTGAGTCTGGTCGCGAAGAGCAGTCCCAGGCTTTTGAGCGTCTGAACCAACAGATGATGGACGCATTGGCTGAAACGAATGCCACAAAGGAAAAGCTCCGCAAGGAAGAGACATTGAGAAGAAAGCTTCACAACCAAGTACAAGAACTCAAAGGCAATATTCGAGTTTTCTGCCGAGTCCGCCCCTCGCTGCCCTCGGATCCTGTCAATCAAACCGCCCAGATCCAGTTTCCAGATAATGCTGAGGATTGTAAAGAGATCGCAGTGCTGGGCCCCGAAGAGAAGAGCAGCCTTGGAGCAATCTCAAGGAAGAACAGCAACTTCTCATTCGATCGTGTGTTCGGGCCGTCAACCCAGAACGCAGAGGTCTTCGATGAAATCAGCCAGCTGGTGCAGAGTGCTCTGGATGGATACAATGTGTGTATCTTCTGCTACGGCCAGACCGGCAGTGGGAAAACCTACACTATGTCCTCTCTTGACGGTATGATTCCCCGGGCCGTGCACCAGATCTATGAGACAGCAACTGGCCTAGAGGAGAAGGGCTGGAGGTACACGATGGAAGGTAATTTTCTGGAGGTGTACAACGAGAACCTCAACGACTTGCTGGGCAACCCCGACGACCTGGATAGAAAGAAGCTCGAAATCCGCCATGATATGCAGAGGGGCAAGACCATTATAACAGATGCTACCACTGTCCGCCTAGAATCGCCTGAGATGGTTGAGACCATCCTCAAGAGGGCCGCCTCCAACCGCTCAGTCGCAGCAACCAAAGCCAACGAGAGATCCTCTCGGTCTCACTCGGTCTTCATTCTCAAGCTCATCGGAGAGAACGATATCACGGGTGAGCGCAGCGAGGGAACCCTTAACCTCGTCGACCTCGCTGGTAGTGAGCGTCTCAGCCACAGTGGGGCGACTGGCGAGCGGTTGCGCGAGACACAGAACATCAATCGCAGTTTGAGCTGCTTGGGCGATGTGATCGCTGCTCTGGGACAGGGCAAGGAGGGTGGACATATTCCCTACCGCAACAGCAAGGTACGCTGCGCACATGGTTTTTGGGGGATTGTATCAGTCAGCTAACCACCTAACAGTTAACCTACCTCCTCCAATTCTCCCTTGGCGGCAACTCAAAGACCCTGATGTTCGTCATGGTCAGCCCGCTGCAAGCCCACCTGTCCGAGACCTTGACCAGTCTCAAATTTGCGACCAAAGTACATAATACGCACATCGGGACGGCCAAGCGGCAGGCGCGGATTCGCGAGTGCTGACGGCGGGGAACTTTTGTGGATTGAATGATACCTTTTGAGTTTCTTCCTTGTTTGTCTGTTGTGTTACAATGTGGGATGTTGGCCTTCATGAACCAGGCCTTGGCAGCGGAGTCTTGGAGTATGCTTTCTTCTGTGAATAGGGTAATGGACAATATTAGCCTTCTTGCTTTCGTCGGTTTGAGAATCTCAGTGTTTGTTTGTGTATTACCTGTTGTGCTGTAGTTTGATCTTTGATGGTTCTTAACACCCACTATATATTGAGACTACAAAGCCTCTGTACGGGATGGGTTGTCTCTTGTTCCGCTAGAATAGAAGGTTACGTCAAGCCAGCCTCTAAAAGACCTTTCTAAGTCATACACGTCACAATCACTGTACCATACTTTATAAGCATTTCATGAACTATCAAGTAAGAGACAGTCTGTTCTGAATCTCAGACGATGATCAGAAGGTCAGCTGTAGAGCGGAAAGAGATGGCAGAAATGTCGCCTTCCATGGCTCGTCCGCGGCTCGGGCCTACCGGAACAGACATCATGGATACTTTTATCTACATTACACATTTGGACAGATGCATTGAGAGTTCCTGTTGATCGTATTTGAGAGTCCACTCGATCCGTCGAACCGTCGGGGCTGTATGTCTTCGAGTCCAATCCACCCGGTCAATAGTGGTGTGACCCGCCTGATCAACCATACCACTTCTCATTGTGTCCAGTTAGGAGTCTCAGTATCATCATCATCTCCACCCTCGCGAGCTCACCTTTCTCGTCTCCTGCCAAGTGATGTCGCGCTGTACGCGGATCGTATTTAGCGGCACCTCATCCCCGGACGCGTCATCCCGCTGGCTGACATCCAGCGACACGAGCTGCTTGGACAGGTGCTCGCCAGGCGGCCGCAGGATCCGGTTGGCGCCTTCGAAGCTCTGCAGCTCGGAGCCCTTGCCCTCGGTGCCCGTGGTGCGCGCGCCCGAGGCGCCGACGCTGCTCGCGAACGTGGACGAGAGCGCCACGAACAGCGGCCGCAGGGTCGGCAGACAGCCGGAGATGATCCCGCTTGCGCACTCGATCAGGCACCAGGTGCATGCCTTGGCGAGCGTCCAGGTGGTGTCCGCGGGCTCGAATTGGAAGAGCGTGGAGAAGCGGTAGGCGCTGGTGAATACGACGCTGTTTTTGCGGGCGTGATATGCGTGTCAGCGTATGCCATCGCTGGCCTGACCTATGATCTCCCCTAGAGATAGAGGTGGTTGGTAGGATTGAGGGGTGGTGAAGGTGTGCGAGATTTTGGAGGTTCGGGTGGAAGGAAACGTACAAACTGCCTAGCAGAAATACTGTGATCACCGACAATCGATGCGTGAGGGAGGCGTGCAGCCCCCAGACCACGTGCACCGGCAGCGAGAGGATGGCCACATCGGTCACAATGTTCGGCACCGCGTTGCCGATGAAGGATCCCTTGAGGTTGATGCAACTGCCCGGAAGAGTCGGGTTCCAGGCCTTGGCGATCGGGTCGCACTGGAACACGCTCACGCAGATGATGGCCAGCACCCAGCCGACCGCGATGCCGCCGAGGATGATGGCGGCCAGCCGGAAGTTCCGCGTGGGGAAGATGCGCGCGTACATGAGGAGGATGGACACTTTGATGATTCCTACTGTTGTGCAGTAGACGCACTCGAACGCCATGAGCAGCTGTGGCGGTGTATTAGCTCCTGCTTGGCTGGGTATGGGTTTCAGGTGCCTTGCCCGTGGATCTGGGATCGAACCTTGGCAATTTTCGTGACGTTCGCGCTTGGTAGCTCGTCTGCATGGCGGCCCATGCCGTAGTGAATCACTGTCATTCATCAGTCAAGGTGGAGGCAATGAGGCCCTGAGGGCTGGAAGACTCACTGGTCAAATTGAGACCGCAGGTTGCGAACAGAAACACCTATGTTCGGAGAGTCAAATCAGAACCGGACTGAGCTGCTTCGATCCTACCGAACTGGACTTACCACCGACAATAACATGGTATAATCGTCCAACCCGACTGGCAGGCCTTTCTTCCTCCGCGCTAGAAGTCGCAAAACCACGAAAAACAGCCCCAAGGCGGTCATTGCAATGCTAAGCACCCGATTCTCTCCTTGGTGGTTTTCCTGGACAGCTGTCTCCATAGCCGTAGCTCGCCCAACAACAGTCGACCGAGTCCGGTCATAGCTGGATTGGATTTGAACCGAAGAGGATGAGAGCTGAAGGTGATGAAGACGGAATCATAACCACGAAATCCTGCTTTGACCGACTGTATCCCTGACAGGAGAGGTTTCTTTCAACGTCCCTGCTAACGCCCCTGCTAGTGCGGGTACCGTCTGCCCACCACATAACAGGTGTGGTGTCATGACGGGCCCGCGGAGTACCTTCCGCTGGAGATGAGTCCTCCACTAGACCGTTAGACCCAGTCACTAAGCGTACTACTACGCTAGGTCTCTGGGTGGTGCGACGGCCGACCGCACACTATCTCTCGGCGACAGGCCGTTTGTGGGGCTGACAGCGGCCCTAAATCCACCGTCTGGGGAACGACTCGGACTATCATTAGACAACTTAAATGAGCATCCCCCCCTTTCGGGTTCGGAGCACGGCATATCCAGGATAAGCGTTACTCTATAAGTACAGCATAGCAGGCCGCAAGCGCAAGGCCCACCACCCGGTCAATTCGCCCACCGATGAGAAGCAAAAAGGAGAAGACTTGAATCTACCAACACAATGACTGCCGACGCAAAACCCATCTTCGTCTTCGTGCCTGGCGCATGGCACACCCCAGACACCTTCGACATCATCCGCGACCTCCTGCGCAAGCGAGGACACGACACTGACGCCGTCGCCAACCAGTCGGCCGGCGCGGCGGACCCCTCCGTTGGGCTCCACGCCGACATAGCCTACACCAAGCGCGCCCTCCGAGCGCTGGCCGACCAAGGGCGCTCGATCGTGGTGGTCGCCCACTCGTACGGCGGGATCGTCGCGGCGGGCGCGGTCGAGGGGCTCGGGTATACGTCGCGGGCCCGCGCAGGACAGCCCGGCGGGGTGATCCAGGTCGTGTGGATGGCGGCCTTCGTCACGCCCAAGGACAAGTCGCTCCTCGACATGCTGGGAGGGAACTGGTTGCCCTGGATGTCGTTCACGGTGAGCGAGACGCCCTTTCTCAGACCCCACTTTCTCCCTCCCCGTGCGCATTCAAACGTTCACCGTAAACCCCCCCCCCCCTCTCCCACTGACATCGCCATAATGCAGACCCCCGACGACGGATACGTCTACACCACCCAGCCCTCGAAGATCTTCTACCACGACATGACCCCGGACGCCCAGCGCCAGGCCATCGCCAACCTGCACCGCCACCCCAAGCCCTCCTTCCTCGAGCCGGCCGTCCACGAGCCCTGGCGCGAGATCCCGGCCTTCTACCTCTTCTGCGACCAGGATCAGGCGCTGCCCCTGGCCGCGCAGGAGGCCTTCGCCCAGACCCTGGGCAACCCCGGCCGCTATCACGTGGACGGATCGCACTCGGCCTTCCTGAGTGTGCCGGAGCATGTGGCCGATGGGCTGGTGCTGGCGTTGCAGGAGGGGTTAGAGAAGACTGGTGCTGGCGCTGGCGCTGGCATTGCTGCGAATGGTGTGGCTAACCGCGTTAGTCAGTTATAGTAACTTATGACTTAGTGGTCTTCGAGCAAGGGTGGAGGGATATACTGTGTATATTATATGTAGTATGGTTAGTCCGTGCAAGGGTAGGGCTGTTGACAGGGGCGAAGGGCCAATCATTTAGGGTATTGTAGATAGTTCCACCGTTTCTTTGTTTCGTTCGTTGAGCATTGTCCCGCTGTAATCTTGGGTTGGTCCTATCAGATCCTATCGGGACATCTCTGCCGCGGTGGGGATGGATTAATGTTGTAGCTTGTAAATGAGGTTGTACGGGGTGTGAAAATGAATCGAGCGGAGTTGATTATGGCGTGGATGATTTAGATTGTTTTAGAGTCGATACCAGACTGCACTGTGTAATCTTACTATGCGCTAAGGTGAAATGCCCGAATTGCCTGGGTGGTATGCTGGAGTCGTGTTGCATAGCCTCATATCTTAGAGGAAAATAGAGAAAAGGGTAGGGAAAATGGGTGAAATGAGACCGAAGACTGTCCTCTCTCGATGCGAACTAACCCTATGACTGACCCGAGCTCGCCTTATAAGTCATGGAAGAACTTGTCCACCTTGTTCCCGAGCTGTTCGGACTTCTCACGGATGCGGCCCTCGTCCATGACGCCTTCTTCGCTGACGAAGGCATCGACCATGTGCAGGGGCACCCACTCGAAGTAGATGTTCTGCACGTCAACGGTGGCGGCGGACTTTGCCTCGTCCTGCTTCATGCCTTCCTCCAACACGCCGACGCCCTTGACGCCGTCGCTGCGCCAGGTGGTCATGACCTCCAGCGGGGAGTTGTCCTCGTGCTTGTCGTCGTCGATGACGCCGGGAGCACCGTTGATCTTCTCGAGGTCGCTGAGGACGACGATCTGGGCCTCCGGGCTGACGTGCCGCGTGCACAGGGCCGCGGGCAGCGAGCCGGTCTTGTTGCTGACGCCCCGCGTGGCGGAGAGGCGGTCCGCCCCGAGCAGCAGCAGATCCACGCCCGCGGCGGCGATGGCGGCCGACGCGTCCGTGTACACTTTCACCCGCAAATTCTTGTGGGGCGTGTCCGCGAATCGCGACTTGAAGTTGGAGATCAGCGACGAGGCGATGCTGGCGCCCTCGAACAGCGGCCGGGATTCCAGCACGCGCAGCTCCAGTAGGTGGATGTCCAGCGAGGCGTATGCGTCCAGGATGCTGTCGCGGATCGTCGAGCTCGCCGACACCGTCAAGATCGTGAGCTTGTCCCGCGGCTCGCCGTGGTGCAGGAAGTGGTACCGGATGTAGTGCGTGAAGGCGTCTTTGACCTGCGTCGCGCGGCTCTTGCGACTGGCGAGGTGGTGGTCCAGCACCGCGAGCATGCGCTCCCATTTCTGCTCGTCTGAGTGGTTGTTGTTGTTGTTGTCGCTGTTACTGGGGCTGGGGCTGTGGTTGTGGTTTTCATCGTGGTGCAGGATATCGTCCAGTTCGGCGAGCACGGCGACGAGCGCGTTCATCGTCGCGGCGCCCATGCTCTCCCGTCCGTTCTTGATCATGTGCCACGCCGCCATGCGCACGTTGGCCCACCATTGGGCGTCCATCCCGTTCTGGGTCTGGACAAGAAAGTCGCGGAAGATCATCAGCGCGATGGTCGTGAGCTCCTGCGAGCCGCTCTCGTGGTCGTTGCGGAGACGCTCCAGCCCCGTGGCAAGGGTCTTGCCGGCGCGTTCACTGCGGAGATCGCCTTCAAACCATACGCGGCGGAAACTGTCCTTCAGGCGGGGCACGGTGGGGGAGAGCTCTTCATTGAGGATCGCGGATAGCGGGTGCCATTCCCAGCCTGTATGTTCCCAGTCAATGTTGAAGGACGGTTCTTCTTCATTAGCTGTCGATTCTTTAGGCGTGTTTGCGTTGTATAGAAAGGCGAATGGATGCACAGTCCACTCGCGTCCGGCGGACGGTTCGCTGAATGTGAAGGGTTTCCCCGTGCGCCAATGCGTGAGATTAGAGGAAGTGAGACCTGTTTCCTCGGAGAGTTCGCGCCAGGCGGTTGCGAGCGGGTCGCGGTCCTCTGACGTTATGCTGCCGGATATTGGGGCAAGGTGGCCACTAATTTGACTCTTAGATGAGCACTTTTACCTAAGTGATCAGGAGACAAACCGATATGTTCTCACTTTGTCGCTGCGTTTGAACAGCGCTACGAGCGGTCTCCCATCCTTGAAGTTGAAGATAAAGGACGAGACAACGGCGCGCTTTTCGAAAGATTGAGATTGAGATTGGTCTTCGGGAGGATCGTGAGACTGTGGTGGGGATGCTGTCATTGTGCTGAGGGTACTGTGGGTGATTATAACAGAAGGTAGTATAGAATTGTTGGGTGTACACTCATGGAAGCGGGTTTAGGTCTGACTCTGTGGATAAGAGAGTACGGGCGCGGGAAACACCCCCCGTCGAATCGCTGCCAAAGTTCACTCTGTTGGGTTGACGGAATCAAGTGGAGTAGAGCCGGAGAGCCAAGAGGCAAGAAAGAGAGGTATAAATCCCCACGCGAACAGTCGGATGATCGCGGGCGGTTGGTGTCATAGTCACATCACGCCACGGAGGGGGGCGAGAACAAACGAACGACGGTGCATAAAGAAAGACGAGAAACGCAGCTTCCCGAGTATGACAGAAAGCTAGGACCACGCCATTGAGCGATATGTACAAGTACAAAGCGACAGGATCTAGTTTGACGGGGCTGATGCGGGGACTGGCCAGAGGAAGAGGAAGTGGAGGACGTGGTGGGAGGGAGAATGGCTGGCGGCGATGGACGACAACAACGACGGCGGCAGCACATGACGTCAGCATTCGGCAAGCAGACCGGCCTCGCGCTGTATACAGCAAGTTCATGAACAAGGACAAGAACAAGAACAACCACTTTTCCTTTACATCCTACACTTTAAACAGCACAAACCACTGGAAACAACGACTACTACACCTCCCTTCCACCCAAATATCGCGATTCCACAGCTCAGCCGCCAGAATGCCCACCTATCTTGGTTCCTGCTACTGCCGCAACATCACCTACGACCTCTCGCTCTCCTCTCCGGACGAGGCCCGCACTTCTCTCTGCCATTGCAGTAGCTGCAAGGTTCGACCCCCTTTAAATTACTTATATCTCCAACCTTATCCCCAAAGGTCCTCACCCTCTCCCAATAACCCATGAGCTAACAACGACGGCGGTGGGGCCATGGTGCTCATCACAGAAAGCATTCGGCACCAACTACGGTCTAACAGCCAAGGTCCCCAAGGACGCGCTCACCCTCAAATCCGGCCAACCGAAGGAGTTCGTCGGGGACAATGGCTCGGGATCGACGATCCACCGAGAGTTCTGCGGGAATTGTGGGAGCTTTATTCTCGAATATGGGGTAGGTTCTGCGTCCACTCTACCGTGGGGTTTGAGTCTGGGTATGGTACACATGCTTAATGTTGCTGGTGAACGACTAGGATGCGGTGAAGAATGATTTCCGTTATATCTGCGTGGGGACGTTGGATGACCCCGAGGTTCTGCCGCCCAAGGGGGAGTTCTTCTGCGAAAGTCGGTCGAATTGGATGCCGGAGATTCCTGGTGAGTTGCGGGTTTACTCCCTTCTGGGGCGTGTTATGGGAGTGAGGCTAATTTGGTAGATGTGTTTCACAAGCAGAAGATCAAGGAGTGATAATTGGGTACGGTCTAGTTTATAAATGTTTCTTGATTCAGGAGTGCGTGTATTTTATAGCCTGCAGTGAGAAATGCGATTTCACTTGTCAAATGCTATACATTGTCTATGGTACTTTGCACCACCAAGTCGGGGACGAGCAGCTTTTCCTGAATGATCAGAGCATTGAGGTAGTCGTTGCTGTCCACCCGACGGAGCCCAGCGTCGAGAGTCGCCTCAATCCCCGCCTCAACGTGCCGCTTGGCGACACGCCGCCGGGCCTCTTGTAGATCTGTGTCAACAAAGATCCGATAATCAACTAGCTGCGCGACATCGCACCATATCTGTTCGTCCAGCAAGCAATAGTTGCCTTCGATAATGACGACGGAAGTGTCCGGGGCGATGACAACGCCGTCCTCCACGGGGTCTTTCGCCTCGTGGTCGAATGAGGGGGCGTAGATGGTTTGCGGTTCGATACCAAGGCCGGCTTGAGGGTCTAGATCTGCCCACTGGCGCAGCTGTTGAATAACGGCAACGAAGCGGGGTGCATCGAACGTCCAGGGCGCACCGCGACGGCGATAAGCCTCTTCTCGGTTGGGGAGTGTATCCAGTACAGCCCGCGAGAGATGGAAGCCGTCCATGGAGAGAAGAGCCGTGGCGAGAGGGGGTGATGTAGAACGCAGAATCTGAGCGACTGCCGCTGCAGTGGTTGTTTTTCCCGAGCCCGGGATGCCAGCGATAGCTACGAGAAGCCTTTTCTTATGATGGGCGCGGGCTTTCTGGCTGATTATGTCCGCGATCTTAGCATATTCTGCTTCCATCTAGGCCAGAATGTCAGTTGGATTCTTGGTGAGGGGAACAACAGAGACCGGATGGGGTGGCTGACATACGTCTGTCTATCAAGCTGGTTCGCAAGCAACGCTTGGAAATGCAGAGATGGTACTGACTGCCCCTTCTAAAAATACCGACACATTGCACGCTATTTACTCAATAGTCATGTCAAACCTTAGGAGGGGTAGCGGTTCACAGTGCTCCGATATCGAGGGGACTTGATGCGTGGCGACATGGCTGGGCTGGGCTGGGCTCAGGCATTCCGGCGTCTTGGGAAACTCTTCTTCCCTTAGAAGTATGCATTTGTGAAGCAGCCATACATCAAGAAAATTAAATCGTGTAAATGGCGTATCGATCCACGCGATTTCGCAGAGTTGAGGTCGAGCTCGGGAAAAACAAGCTGCAAGTAAGTTTTGGGTTGCTGTTCCCCGCGTGTCCCATGTTTTCTTGTCGTGTGCGGGGAAACGAACGTCTTTTTCAGGCTGCCTCATGCAGTCATCGGTCCTTGATTAAGGTTCTTGCAATCGCGGGGTGGGATCCACGACCTGGTTCTGTTTCGTCGATCTGGCGGACTTTCTGGTTGATTTCCGGGCTGGGGCTACATAGAAACAAAGAATCTGTTGATCTAAACAATGCGAGCAACGGGGGCGCACTTGATCGCACGGCACGCCCCAGGCCTTGCAGGCCTTGCAAGGCTGGCACGGTTCATCTTGCTGAGGGGTAGCGTGGGCTGGCTGTTCAGGTGCAGGCAGTGTATGGCCGTGGCCGTTTGCGGTTGAACACAGGTAGTTGGTGGATTTCGTGCGATCGGTGCATTCGACGCGACCCGCAGCAGTCTGGGGACTATCGATCATCCAGACCGACCACAGCCACTGGGAGAAGCGCTTGAGAACGCATGCTCGTCCGATGCGATTTTTGCGGGCGAGATCACACTTCAGGTGGTTCTGGAGACGCGTGATGGCGGTGTCAGTCATGATGGCTGCTGATTCGGGGGTTCTGTGATCATTCGATTCTTGCAAGGAGGCAGGTTTTGCTGGCGAAAGTCGGGTAACTTATGGCTCTGCTGGCACTTGCTGGCAGGACCACGAGAGTTACAAGTGTCAGACCGCTGTCAGACCATCGCGTGGGAGACGGGGAATTTTTATAGACTAGTAGTAATGAATCAAGGGGCTGTTGTCATTGCTGGAGAGGTGGACATTCCCTCCGCCCCGCCCTGGCCAACTTAACTCCAACGCACGAGCACGGGCTCTTTCAGAATGTACTAAGTACTGACACTTCCATCACGGGTTTTAGACGATGATTGGAGTATGAGCCTTGGGATCGACCTGACGTCAGGCTCGAGCGGGCGGGGGACGAGCAAGTAAAACGGTGTCTTTGTCTGTTGAGAATCCGCCGAAGTGACACCAGCGGAACCGGTTACTATTTCCTGGTTCTGTTCCTTCCGGGCAATGCCTTGGTTTGATGGATGGCACCACCTGGTTTGAAATCGTGAATGACTCGATTAGTGACCGAGATATCCATCTGGTGTTGAGAGTCCTCAGTAATCTCTGGGGAAAGTGTACGGAGTAGCTACTCTGCACATACCGTATGTTCCTACATATCGATGGGTTTGGAGGTTAGGGCAGGGCCGGCAGGGGCACGGGCACTGGCAACAACAACAAGAACAGCGTGTTCAGGCATCGGTGTGGGTGTGATGTCCCCGCGTACTGTATAGACTGTAATTTTACCCCACTTGCACTGTATGTATGTACAGTACCTCTTCTCTCCTTTCCTAGGAAGTCATGGACAATTCATGCATTAATGAATAACACCACACCACATCCGCCAAAACTGTCAAGGCAACCAGTAGCAGCACTAGCAACACCCACCAGTGGGCCACGTCTGACAGCGATCGGCATCACCACTTGCATCCACTCCGCTCGTACCTTTATGATACCTCATACCTCATATTGCCAAGGCGATCGACAAGAATCATCTGACCTTCAGGCTCAGAGACACAATTGACTCATCCAGTCGCACGATCAACAATCACAACTAATTAATCCATCTCGGCAACACCCGAGCATCGATTTGGTTCCACTGCGACCGGGAGATCTTTCCATCGAGCACTCCATCGAAGCACTTCATCCGGGTTTTCGCATGCTCGATTATCTATATCTCCTCACTCTTCAACCCAGATATCTCCATGTATCTTCTGTGATAGAAGTGCCCCGGAGAGATCCCTATCCTCAGCGGGCAGAAATGCAGCCCGGGTTCGAAATCTCCGGTGTGATTCCGTGGACGCAGGAAGCAAGGAGCTTCTGTCAAAAGCTTAAAAGCCAATAGCAAACATGGATGGCGGCAGCCTCTTGCAGCTACTGGCATCCTCCCCCTCCTTCACTCCCCTCCCTCATGCCTGATTCAGGTTTTCGCCGGTCGAGTTGTCTCTACGGTCAATGACTTGTCAGCTCATCTGCAGCGCCCACACTACCCGTAGCACCGTTCCGGTAAAAGCGGTTCAGGCTGCTCGCGTGTCTTCTGCCGAGTTTCGGCCTTCTCTGCATCGTCCCCTGAGCAGCCAGCAGCCCAAAAAAAAAAGACACTTAAGGGTGCCATGCGCCCACAATGAATGCTGATGTCCGCACAGTAAGCATCTCAGAAAGGCTTAGAGAGGGGGGTGGCAGATTGACACTATCCTGAATGGCAAGATCTGTCCCCTGAGCCCTTTCTATCTGTGCGTACACTTTTCCTGTGGCGAACTACAAGCGGTCCATCGCAAGTGAGAAACCTTCATATCGAACAGTTGACCAGCCATCGCAACCATGCACGCTTCCGAGCCGAAAGAAGAAGTCAGTCCTGCCCTGGGGCAACCCGACCCTGTGCAAAACCAGGGACACGGTCGGAAACGCTCTGCGAGAAGGCGCCTCGGCCGCAAGTCTGCTGAGGCTCACGACTCCTTCACCTTGATGGATACCATCGGTTATCTGCTGTCAACTCCAGATAGCACCATGACAGCCTTCCACTGGGGTAGGTAGGCTGCGACTCTTTAAACCTGATCGTTGACTGACCACGAAATTCACAGGCGGACCGAGCCTATCTGCAACTTAACAGGCAGCATTCGTCATTGAGGATACGAGTTCTTGGGACTCAACCCACCGTTCGATATACCTTGGGGGCCCGGTGGTTTCCAAATTGGAAACTATTGGAAGCCTCAGCACACCAGAGATCAGGGAAATCAGAGCCACGTTACGCGAATTCTTGTTTCTCATTCCACCTGTTCATTGACATGTGATACTGCGAGTTGCATGTTTGGCTCTTGTGGCTGGGGGCTGGACTTTGACGATTTGTGGTGGCGGCGAATCGTCCAATGTGTCTGTCGATATAACACACCCGGCTATTATACGCCATCAATCAATTGTGAGGAAAACGGCTCATCAATGGCCTTCCAACCAGTACCACACGTTCCTCTTTCCTGAGGCGAAAGCCATGATTGAGCGGTAGTCTAGACCTCCCATCGTCCAAATGAACCTGCTTCAATGCGTTTTAGCATTTTATCTTGATGTCAAGGACTTATACAGACATCTCGAATGTGGACAAGACATTTATACATGAACAATCCCGAGAGGACAAACATGTATCTCTCAGCTGGCTAGTAACCGACCTCTCTTCAGCCCACAGTGCCTTCAACCTTTCTTATGCCACCTGCCTTGCCCTTAACCTCCCTCACTCTGTGGCAACCCAAACCCCTCTGAGCCCCGAACAAAATGTCCGGACAGGTCGAAAACGTCCCCCTGCATACCCGCGAGCCCGGTGACGAGATCACCGAGGCTGACCTGGCCAAGCTGCTGGAGGCAACGGACCCTCTTACCTCTGCTGCCGTTGCTGCCGCTGCCGCTGCTAGTGCAGTCACTCAAGGGACTAGTACTATTACCTGTACGTGATGATCTTCTAGCTGGCTCTGCCAACGTGCGTGTCGTTCATTCCCGGTGCCAGTTAACCTCGAAGACTTGTTCGTCGAATATACGTACGATGACGAGGATGAAGATGGTTTTGGTGACGAGGATGGAGATGACGAGGAGGGCGAGGAGGACGATGACGGTATGGATGAAGTCTACTATAATGAGGCTACGGATGGATGGCTCGGGCCTTGGTGGGCGAATGTCTAGGATGTAAGGATGGGATCTGGATTCGAGCGTGGGGTTAAGATCGATTTGATTCGATCGATTCGATCAATCGATCGGGAGTTGATCGAGGGGTCCTTCCGGCGTCTTAAGTATTTTGGCGTGTTTGGTGAAGAACTCATTAATTTGGATTCTGCTCTAGCTACGGGTTCTGGAGAAAAGCCCACGGCGCGTTTCAGACTGTGTTGTTACGATATACCTACGGAGTAAAGACCGGCATAATTCAAGAAAATCCTACACCATTTCTATCGTCCAGCTTATGCAATCGCAGGATATGCAAGGGAATAAGATACACGCCTACTTGAAGGGTAGGGTTAATCCCTCCCCTTCCACGCATCAACCAGAAACTCCCTCACCTTGACCGTTTCGATCTCGGGGAAGCGCTCATTCAGCCGCCCTTCCACGGGCAGATCGAACACCCCCGCGATGGTGAGCCGACTGACCAGCACCGTCACCTCGTGGGCTTCCTCCTCGGTGTAGCCCTCTGGGATGGCAGGGATGGTGACCTGCCCTTGGTTGATCTTCTCGGGGCTGTCATACACAACGGAGAACTTTCGGCCTGTATTTGGGGCCATCTGGTCAGAATCGGGTCCTTTCGTTGTCTCGTCTCAAGGCCTCCCCACAGTGCCTTTTCTTGTGCCTTGTGCCTCAGCTTCCACCCTCCACCCCAATCGAACGTGTCTCCATCTCCTGGCCTCTAAAGCTGAGCAAAAAGGGAAGGGGCAAAACCAACCTCGAATCCCCTCCACAATCCCCAACAACTGATTATATGTAACCACATCCCCCACCACCACACTGAACTCGGGCCACTCCGCGGCATCCACCTCCTCGAGCAGCCGCACCACAAACCGCGCCATGTCGTACGTATACGTCATGCACAGCCGGTCGTTCCCGTCCCCAGGGATTGCCGCCCGACCGTTTTGCACGTCGATCCCAAACAGCCCCGGCTGCAGGTGCGTCCGCGCGTGCGGCATCCCCCAGTAATCCATGAAGAAGCCGGGGATCACCCGCGTCGACTTGAGGGATGGGGCGTCGTGTTGCAGCTTGTGGGCCGCGGCGAGCCAGTGCTTTATGCTGGGGTCGATTTCGAGGTGGCTTTGGGGTGTTAGTTTTGTCCTAGGTGGGGTTTGGGGGTAGGTGGATGGGTCGGGTTGGGTTGGGTTGGGGGCAAAGGAGGGGGGGGGGGAGGGGATTACTCGGCGGTCTGGATGAAAGAGTACTCGCTTGGGAGGAAGCGCGTGACGGTGGGGGATTGCTCGGCCGCGTCGATGAGGTTCAGTTGCGCTTGGCTGGTTTCGGGGGTGGTGATGCCGATGGCCGAGATGATGGTCGTGATGCCCTGGGTGGTGAGGAGGTGCGCGAGGGCGGGGATGTCGGAGTAGTTGACTTGGAGATGGTGGGTGCGTGAGGTGGGGGGGTCTTGGGGAGTCTGCGTGAGGTGAGCTTTGGGGTTTGAGGGCGGGGGTTATGTATTTTGGAGCTGACGGTGAGGATAAGTTACGCACGCTGCGGGTTAGGATGATTATCTTGTGGGTGGTATCTTCGAGGAGGGTCTCGACGATGGTTCTGCCTACGCCGCCGGTGCCGCCTGCTACTGCTATGACTGTCATTTTGAGGGTTAGTGGGGTGCTTTTGTGGGTGAAGGATGTGGGTGAATTGGGGTAGTGTTGAGGTTGATATATGCGTGGAGTGGAGGTTGATGAATGGTTTGGATCCGGTGGCCCCGGGCCGCTGGGGATCGGGGATCCACTTGGCCCTGTCCGCGGTCGTGGGCTCTGTTGGTTACTTTGCTGGTTGCTTGCTTTATTGTGCGTACCATAATTCAAGAGTCTAGGTTTGTCAAAGCAGATACGTTTTGTACTAAATGCTATTGTGCTATTGTGATGTTGGGCATCAGGTCGGACTAGACCTACTGTCTGAAGAGAGAGTCGAAGCTGTATACTGTAAGTTGAAGCTGTAGATGTTGCGCCTGGCGGAACAGTTAAGTTAGTTGGATGAGTCAATATCGAATCTAGATCTTGTATCAAGTCTCCTTGTGAATACATTCTGTAAAATCAATTTTTCGGCCTTTCAGTCAGGCGCAAAGCTCATATTACACGGTGGGTTTTTAAGCCTGTGCGTAGTGCTGGTAACATATAGCCATTGATTAAGTAGCTACCTTATCAATTCCTCGATGGTCTAACGGTCATGATTTCCGCTTGTCAATCCTCAACAGGAACAAGCGCGGGAGACCTGGGTTCGACTCCCAGTCGGGGAGATTTCTTTTTGCGTCATGCTTTTTACCACACACGCATCATGATGATCTATGCTATCGTCTCTCGCCACGTGCGGCATATGTTCAACTCGTATATTAACCAATGTCCAGCAATTGCAGTCCTTTACGCGATTCAAGACAGCATAAAAAGCCTTGCTATCGTAGAGTGGCTGTTTGACCCAGATCTTCATGCAATCCGCTCTAACTGTAAGTCTGTCTTCAATCACGCCATTTATAGCCCCACACTTTCGGTATTGAACTCCAGGACTATGCAATTGAAGGTCACAGAAGGTAGTCTAACTCAATAGACTCAAGTAAACAGCTCACTCCTTTGGTGGGGTTCTCGTACCACAATTATGTAACATCCGGCCGGGACTGACCAGTACCTGCCTTAGTGAGTCACGGGCGAGGGGCACGTCATTAAATTTCATCTTATCCTCCCCACGATCCAACCCCAACTTTTCCAACAACACCCCCAATCCACACAATTGCAGCCATCATGAAGAGAGAAGACATCACCTACATGGGCGCCGGCCCGGCCGCCCTCCCGACCGACGTCCTCACCACTGCCGCTGAGGCTTTGTTGAACTACCAAGACACTGGCTTGTGAGGGGCTCCGATCCCGGCGATCTTATCGCCAATCCGTGCAACCATTTTTTCTGACAGCTCAATTCTATAGGGGTGTCGCAGAGCACAGCCATCGCAGCGAGCTGGCCTCGAATATCCTGAACACCGCTAAGGCCGACCTCGCCAACTTCCTCGACATCCCTTCCTCCTACGAGATCCTGTTCATGCAAGGTATTTCCGAAACTCATCCGTCATTGCGGCTACGGCTCGGTCGTCTGACTCGTCCATTGCAGGTGGTGGCTCCGGCCAATTCGGCGCAGTCGTCTATAATCTCGTGTCTGTTTGGGTCGAGAAGCAAAGACAGAAGATCGTGAAGGAACACCCCGAGATCAGCGACGAGGATGCGCTGAAGGAGGTTCTCAAGAAGGTCGAATCGGAGTTGCGGTTGGACTATCTTGTGACTGGATCGTGAGTGTCCCAAAGGACCGAGTACAACGCTCTTGGACTAATTGGCCGCGCAGGTGGTCATTGAAGGCCAGCCAAGAAGCTTCCCGTCTCCTTGGGCCCGAGTACGTCAACGTTGTCAGTGACTCGAGAACGATCAACGATGGCAAGTTCGGTAAGATCGCGGACGAGTCCACCTGGTCGTTGAGCCCCAAGGCTGCTATGGTATACATGTGCGACAATGAGGTAGGCACCCGGTGCTCCGACCGTGGTCGAAGCCCTGCTGATGTGCATGCCCTGTAGACCGTCGACGGTGTCGAGTTCCCTAGCTTCCCCAAGGTGCTGGAGCCCAAGGGAACGGACAACGACCCCATTGTCATCGGTGATTTCTCGTCGAACATCCTCTCCAGACGTATTCCTGTTGAGGTAAGGATGGCCCGAGATGTCGTTTTAGCATGCGCTAACTCGTAGCAGAACTACTCGGTCATCTTCTTCGGAGCGTAAGGACAGATCCATACCATCTGCTCAATTATGGCACTAACCCCCAAAAGTCAGAAGAACCTTGGTACTCCTGGAGTTACTGGAGTGATCATCAAGAAGGATCTCCTGCCCCCCGTCTCTCCTCCCGCCTCTCCCGCTATCCTGCGCAAGCTCGGTCTGCCCATTGCGCCCACCATCCTCGACTACTCTGTCATCGCCAAGAACAACAGTCTCTACAACACTCTGCCCATCTTCGAGTATGCAACTTGAAATCTTGTCAATTGTGCGTGGCTAATGCCATCTAGTGTCTACATTGCCGGCCAGGTGTTGAAGAAGCTGCTTGCCGAGTTCCCCAACAAGGTTGATGGACAGCAGGCCGTTGCCGAAAAGAAGGCGAACCTTATCTACCAGACTCTTGACGCATACCCTGATGTCTACCGGGTTGTCCCAGACAAGAGTGTCCGCTCGCGGATGAATGTCTGCTTCCGTGTGACCAAGGTATGTCTATCGCAGGTACGAAGCTGCACGCGAAATACACTAACCCGAGCAGGGTGGCAACGTCGACGAGTCGGAGAAGGCTTTCTTGAAGGGCGCCGTTGAGCGCGGCGTTACTGGTCTCAAGGGCCACAGAAGCGTCGGAGGTAAGTTCAACTGCCGGTTGCTTAGCTCATGATGGTGGCTAACGAGGTGTCTAGGTATCCGCGCCTCCAACTACAACGCCATTCCCGAATCCGGCGTCGAGAAGCTTGTTGCCTACTTGAAGGAGTTCGCTGCCTAAGGGTGGTTGAGAGATCAAAAGTCATATCTGCACATAAATGGCCATCGTATTTTGACGAGGCCAGGCGTTTCGAGGCTAAAAGGATAAAAGGCTATATACAGAGATCGAGAATGTATTCCCGAGCTCCTACAATGGCTGACTCACCAATCAACTATCTTGTTTCTCTCGCGAAATGGACTGCGCTGTACCAAATCTCGTAATATCCGAATTCAAGGAACAATGGAAGTAGCTATATTGTCCAATCTATATCATGAGGATTGGCGAATAAACCACGGACGAGACTCGGCCCTGTGAAACTGTTTAAATAGGCGGTGGCAGAAACTCCACTGCTACCGACGACGCCGTGGCAGGCAGAACGGCTGCGGGTTTCAGATGAACAACGGGCGAAACTCGGCCTGCGGAACTGGTCAAAAAAGGCGGTGGCAGAAAAAGAGCCTCAAAGGCTGACCGCCCTGAGCGGCAGAAGTAGGCGATTTTCAAGCCTAACAGCTGGCCAAAACGGAAGGGCGAAACTGTTCTTTTGCTCACCGCCTTCTCGCGTCGGCCTCGCTCTCGCGCACCGGTGACAAAGCAGGCAGAAAATACGAGCGTAGCTTGCCTGAGGCAAAAATGATTAGTGAACAATTGGGGCCGAGGCGGAAATCCACGAATCCCCATCTCCCTCCCAACAAGACAACTTCGTTTCCTGCATAGCCAAGAATTATGCGTGCATTAGCACAGGCTTTGGGGCGTCGAGATTATATTACCCAACGGTTGACAATCTGACCGCGCCGATAATCGCCCCGTTGGGTGGCATCCTTCTTGCTGACGATGCTGATGAATCCTCACGTGTGGCAACCGGCTGATAGCATACAAGCTTGAGTGACCGTCTCTATAACAGCTCATCTGCGACGTTCCTATTTTTTGAAAGAGTAGCATTCGGTCGGTCACCTAAGACATAAATACCCCACCTATGATGCTATGGCGCATCTGAATTATGCCGCAACACAAGAAGGTGCAACGGAGACCGACGCCACTCTAGTGCCCTGGGAGACTATCCATGATCAATTCTTTGGTTCTACTCACCCTGCGTCGGATGCCATGGCGTCACCACAGATCACCTCGCTGCTCTCAGCTTGTTCCTACCCTGTGCCCGAGTCCGCTGATTCGCTACATGAAGACCCTACCCAGCCAACCTTATTCGGTGGCATCACGTCCGACCATGTGTTTGAGATCGATAGTACTTCAAGCACAGTCGACAGTCAGCAGACGCATGCAGATCATGTTGTAGCAGAACGTCCCAAGCGCCAACGCGCCGAGGCGGAGAAGCCTACATCGGGGGGAAATACGACTGCCAAACGAGGTCGGCCTCGAAAGGTGCTCGATGAATCCCTTGCTGAAGATCCTGAAGAGGTATGTCTTTGTTATCATTATCGCCTGACCCGACACGCAGCTGCTTAAATGTTGTTCAGAGGCGACGGCGGCAGATTCGCCTTGCGCAGCGCGCCTATCGCTCGCGGAAGGAAGCGAACATGTCTTCCCTCAAGAGTCGCATCGGAGAGTTAGAGTCCGTAGTCGAGCAGATGAGCTCGGCTGTACTGTCGCTCAGCGACCAGCTCGTTCAGTCTGGTGTTCTAGAGTCGAACCCTCACCTGGCGGAGCATCTCCACCATACTGTGCAGACGTGTCTTAATCTGGCGAAAGATGCCAACAAGGACGGAGCAGACTCGACAGCCCTGGTGCCTTCGTCGGCATCCTCGAGAACCAGTTCCGCCCCGGCCTCTGCTCCCGAGGATGGGTTCCAATTCTCTGTGCCTATAGACTTCGGGAAGACCTACCCTCCTGTTCTACCCATCTTCCAATCTGAAAAGCAGGTAACGCCATTCAGACCGGCTCTGAGGCCTCCTCCCCGGCAGCTGGTGCTCCCGGATATCCAGGAGATGGAACTGTCTGTATTCATGAGCCGATTGCACATGTCGTGCATCTATCACGGCTGTCTTGCCTTGTGCGATGACAACATCAGCACAGAGCGCATAATGAGACACTTCTGCTTGCCGCTTACCATTGTGGATCGGAAGACCCTGACGGGGCTGTTCTACGCCGCGCTTAACACGAAGGACGGAAAGAAACGCTACGAAGACTGGAAGGACATCCCTTTCTTCAGCCTAGGCGGAGCAGGCACCCATTACCCCT